AATTGATATATACATAACATTAAAAAAATCGGACCACATATACTTACATAACCTCTACTACTAAATAATATTATGCAATGCACTCATCCTTACATAACCTCTACTACTAAACCATATGATACTAAACAACTAAATCCTCACCAATTTTTTTACTTGAAAACCTAGGTTGCACCTAGTGCCAAAAATAGCTTCAAAACTACAAAGTTATTGCGAAAATTGATTTGAGGGAATGGAGGAGCTTACCGGCCTCTTTGATTTGTCCCAAAGTTCTGTAAAATGGTCAAGGGAAGAGGAAGATCGAAGGGGGGAGGGGTCAGGAGGAGGAGAGAGGCGTGTCTTGTCTCTGTTCGCAAGGATGAGAGCAGGAAGAACAAGCTGATGGGTGGGTGGGGCCTGCCCGCAGCCCAAGCGGGTCGAAATGCCTGGCCGACACCCTACCGCCATGGGGTGCGGCGGTAGCCACTCATCCACGTCAGCAAGGCATATAGCACCTTCACTACCGGACAAACCCTCTATGCCGATGGTCGGCATAGATCTATGTCGTCGGCGTAGATATCGTCAGCATAGTCCTGTCAGACCGTCGGCATAGGCATCTATGCCGACGGCGTCCATACGGTCGTCGGCACAGAAAATCAGCAGACGACAACAGACGAAGCTGTCACCCCTACAGCACAACCAGTGACGACCACGTGGCAGAAGTAAGCCGACGGCCGGGCCGTCGACATAGATGGAAATATGTGCTGACGGTTTATCCTGCCACGTGGGCGTCAGCATACCTCTGCCACGTGGTGCCCCCTGGTTTCTCCTGGACATTGCTATGCCGACGGCCTGGCCGTCGGCATATATCTATTTTGTTTTTTTATGTATGCTCTGTTTTCCCATTTCCTATTCAATTTGACAGCATTCAAAGACACCAAATATGACAGAGACCATATATTGACAGAAATATGATAGATCGTCATCTAAAGATACTCAAGATCACCATCTAAAGATCATCAACATCATCATCATCATCGTCGAAACTTCATGAACATAAGTATGAGGCATGGACATCACCATCGTCATCTAAAGAACTCTAAGATGTATGGGATGTGGAAAGTATTGCAAGACATGGAACACATCATCAGCCAAGACTAGGACCATCGCCGTGAGCACCACCAAGAGAGGACCACTTTGCCAGATCAGAGTAACTGGGCTCTCTGAAGCAGGAGCCGAACCACCGGTCCCCTTCATGTTTGAAAAGAGATTGTAAGGGTAAATATGATATGATAGTGTTGAATGAACGAGAACTAGTTTGTCAATAGTTAGGCAAATGTACTAACCGGAGTGTGACTGCCTAGTGCCACCCATTCATCGAATGTGGGCACGTGTGGGGGTTCTCCAGTAGGTGGTGGTGCGGGTCCCATTGATGGTGGATCCGTGCGATTAGTCCAAGATGACAACATAGCCTAGATGTTAGTTAACCAAGCAAAGATGAAGGTCGGAAGAAATGAAAGTGCAAATTTTAGCTTGGTTCTGATTGGGCAAAACTAACCGCCATCATCTGACGGTTGTAATCCTCGTTTGCCTTTACTCATTGCAAGTACTCCCTCATCTCGAAATTCTGGTGCTCGACAAAGGCCTTATATGCCTACAAAATTTAGGTTGTTTCTAAGTGGGCAACGTTGAAAATAAAGTGAGAAAGTGAGAAGAAAGAAGATAAGGGAGAAGTACTTATAGCATGCTGGCGGGCTAAGCTAGGCTGCGAACGCCTCGTACCCTCTAACGGGCTCGGGTTGGTAGCTCGAAGCCGTGTGTATGAGACAGAAGGAATGATCAAGCCATCGAAACACGGCTAGCGGCCATGGGACTTCGGCTGGATGGCCACCACCGTCGTGTCATAGATCTGAGACTGGATGACGTCCGGAGCATCCGGACCAGGCGGATGCAACCTCTCAAACGGCTCCTTGTAAGACTCTAGGTGCTCCTCGGTTTTGCTGTAGTACTCGCTCTTGCCTTCCTTGCGATCACTCCACGCAGGAGCCAGCTTCCATGACTCCATGTCTGAGAGCGGCCTCTTCAACTTGTCCTCTTGCAACGTCAAATAGAAGTTAGCCATACATAAGAACATGACGGTAAAAAGAAGAAGAAAATGCATCATGTATATAGATATAACTTCATAGCCTTGAAGCCCCAGTGGTTCATGTTCCCTTGGTCGTTTATTCCATCTTTTCCATGGTTAGCCCGGTTCTTGCTGCTCTTGGCAGCAAACTCTACATCGTCACCGAGCCACCTGTCCACCAAACTCGCCCATCCCTCATCCTTTCCAAAGCACTAAGGAGGAATAACCTAAATAATGGTAGCATGACATGTCAGCACGAAACAATGAAATTCACTGCATACACATTGTAATGCCGCCTATTCAGACATGCCACCACACCTTAAGGCATGTATGAGGGCTTGGTGTGACGCTCCGGTGGCATTGCTACCCCCAGGGGCCCCGTCCCGCCAAACCCTAGAGCAGTTGACCACAAGATCTAACCCTTTGACTTTCCTCGGGCGGGCTTTGACCAGTGGACCTCTCCACCCGATTGTGGTAGGTCGGCCCATAGGAACACTTGGGAGCAATGTCCGGGTCAAATCCAAAGCAAGATCCCCTCTGTGTATACCCAATGAGGCCATTTACCCCCACTAGGTGACAGCGGCGGCGCCATCCATGAGGGGTATGCTCCGG